TCCGTTCAGTTCTGCTGAAACATCGTTATGGGCCTAGAATTTCAATAACCGGTCCAAGCCCACAAGAATTCACGTGGATATGACCCGTTTAATTTTTGTTTGAATTTTTATTTAATCTTCCGCTCTTCTTCCTCGCATAGAAATTTGTTCATTATAACGAAGCAAGAAAACGAACTCAGGTCTTTACGCTTCTTCCTAATTTTCGCCGTCGCTTCTCTCCGCCATTTTCCCACTCGCACCTCGCTTTTTCCCCCCATTTTCGCATTCGCATCTTGCTTCTTCCTCATCGAACTACAATGGACAACAACGAACCTCCCTTCTCTTATCGTGTAACCGGCGAAGCCGCACGTCTCCGAAGATCTCGCCTTCGTTCCCAAAGAGCAGAATACGAAAGACTCGCGGGAATAGAACCGGTCGTTTTTGCTAATCTCCCCGACTTCCCTGATCTCTTTGTCTGGGAACGGCCGGCGAAGGTTAGCTTTATTCTTTTTCAATCAACCTCGGATTAGATCTAGGGTATGTCCAATTTACGATTAGGGTTTGTCGGATTTGCCCAATTACGATTAGGGTTTGATTTTCATGTATAAGAGGTCCAAAAGGCCGAATCTTCTCAAGAAACTGCTGATTTTCCATGTATAATAATAGGTTGGAGTTGTCAAACCTTCTCAAGAAACTGCTGAGAAAAGCGATTGGATTATCGATAAGGGCAGTGTGATAATTGGAAAGAGAATCGAACGAGACTTGTGAGTGATGGTGATTGTGAATTTCTTTGACTTTTCCTTTTCTTGATGACTAAATTATAGTATATATTACAGATATACAGGGACTTTTGGAAACGAGACAGTGAATATCAAATATCTCAGCCCTCGTATCGATGCTAAAGAGCTGCGTCACTACTGTGCACGAGTTGACATAAGGTAATTCTTTATTACACTTGAACCCACTTTCAATCTTTTATTGTTTCACTTATTGTAGTTTCTTCTCTTCTCTTTTCTTTGCAGGAACTTGAACCACAAAAATATTGTGAGAATCCTACGTGTTGGCATCTTGTCAAAGAGCATGGTTGTCATATCCGAGCCTCTGCATGTGGTGGAAGAAAAGTATCCGACTCTCAGCAGAAAGACTTTGCATCTTTGGTGAGGATTGCTCTGGATGTTTCAGAGGGAATGTCATTTCTACATGGCAAGAACATCGTACATGGGAATCTGTGCAAGAAAAACATCGTAATGGGTCAAAATAAGGTAAGTATGATAAGCTCGAAGTTTTCACTTTGTTATATCTACTTCACTTTTCCAGAATATGACCATTTAATGTCTCAGATGGCCAAAATCTGTGGGTTTGGCTTGGCTGGTGGCAATATACACCAGCAAATGGGATGTCTTTTGCTTCGGCTGTGTCATATGGGAAATCTTAACTGGAAAGGTAAAAACCATATACTAATTTTGTGTGTTTGGTCAAACGTTTCTTTGTGTTTGTGTTATTAATTGAACTCTCTCTGTTAGGTACCATTTCAAGTGGCTCAAGATATCCTTGAAGAGTACCCAGGAACGCAGCTATTGGAGGACCTAGAAGCTGACTCAGACCCTTTACTTCCTATCTCCAAATTCCTCATCATGATGCTTTCTGATCAGACTGACACTAAGCTACTCCAGCTGTTCGACATGTGTTGGATTCAACTTCCCACACCATCTTTCCAACAAATCTCTGAGTTCCTTAGGAAAATGATATGAAGAATGTGACACATCGAAGGAAGACAGTGAGAMGCCAATGTGAAACATTTGAATCTCTTGGGAAACACAAGCATAGATAGGTTTTTGAGTGATGTCTAGCACTAACTAATTAGACTATATTCCGCCTTTATCATCAGCAGATTTGTACATTTGATGACCGCTTTTTGATTMAGTATTAAGTGAAATAGAAATACTATATTCCCTGCCTTTTTATCTTACTTTTCCACTATTAATATCTCTATTAAAATTTTTTTTTAACGTATATGTTTTTCA